TGATTCGGGGAAGCAGAACATGGTCTAGCCTCTCACACCAAAGAGCAGCGCCCATCCACCACTCCCTGTGCCCAGTGCCCAGGGCACATCCAGCAGTGCCACTGCCTGTCTAACACTGTTGTGCTGCCTCCAGATGCTTCTGAACCTGCTCTCCTGCTCTAGCTGTGAGCGCTTCCCTTGGCCTCTCCCTCGAGGCCTTGCTTGCTTAAGGAGAAGGCGGCTAACCTGCGCAGGTGTGCCCGTGGTGGACAGGGCGGACTCTGCCAATTTCTTCCTTCTTGGGTGACATTTAAAGAAAAGACGGGGTGGGGGTCAGACTCCTAACCCAAAAGGGGGGTTCAGTGTGAGTGCTGTCACTGTCACGGTTCCTCTCTTCCTTGCTTTGGTCTGTGTTAGTTGTGCTAATCCTGTACCTGAAACCTTCCTGAGCAACCCTGCTTTGGAAAGCCTCCCTTTGGCCCCAGGCCAGCATTGAAGTAAGAATCAGAACATAGTCAAATCCCTTCCAAAGAAAAGCCACCCTCCAAATTTGTATAAGCTATGTAGGTTTTATTCAAGAGTTTCTGGAGCCGAGGGAGGGTTTCATAAGCCCCGCCCTACAGCGTACAGCGTTGTGAATGCTCCCTTCCGGTCCCTCTCCTGTCTTCCCAGTGGAGTGGGGTGAATGGTGAGTTTCCGCCTTTTCCCACAGAGGCCAAGTTTCACGTCTTCCTCTGCACGGCTCTTCCTGTTCTCTCATTTCTCTGCTGCCACACAATTATCCCCACCTGGCCTCCTAGCCTGGCCTGCGGGAGAGGAGAAGGGCCTCCTGCTGATACAGCAGCCCAAGCAGAGACAGTTGGACATAAAAATCCATTTCTGTGCGCATACTGGGTATGGCTGAGGCCTGGGAAGGAAGTGCCAAAGGCATAAGTGTTACGAAACAAGAAGGGCTTGCACTTTTAGGTGAGGAAATCAGAACATCAGTTTATAGCAGAGTTCGAGACGGATATGTGGTGTACACTTGTAATTCCAGCACTCTAGGAGGCTGAGGCAGGAGAATCATAAGTTTGACCCAGCCTGTGCAATTTAGGAAGACCCTGTCTCAAAATAAAAAGGCCTAGAAGTGTAGCTCAGTGTGAAGGCCCTGGGCTCAATGCCCAGTACTGATCAATCCCCAGTTCTGGGGCTGGGGGGAGGGAGGGGTTATTATTTATGGGTGGTTTTTATTATAGCATAAAAAGAAATTTAAAAAAGAGAAGCCAAAAGAAAATGGAAAACTCCCAATTCATGCAATTATTTGCCTTATTAAATCATTGTCAATGTGGTTTAGTCTTTGTCCAAATAAGACACTGCAACAAAATACACACAAAACTGCAACCATGAAACTAATTAATTAATGCAACCAATATCTGTTGCCTGTGTGTGATGTGCCAACTGCCTTGGAGATGCTTAAAATATACAAGAGAACAAAACAAAGGCTGCTACCCTCTGACGCATTCATGCATGGTAGTGGAGGAGATAGACTCACCCAAAACATAGTGAATAAGCAGCTGTTGTGTTGGATGATTGCAGTGGGGATAATCGAGTACCTCAGGGCAGGGAGACTGGGCGTGCTAGGGTAGGTCCGGGATATTTACAGTATTAAATAAGGAGGCCAAGGCCAGCCTCACTGAGAAAATAAAATTTGAGTAAAGACTTAGAGGAAGTAAGAGCATTAGCTAAGCAGGTGTCTGGGGGAAAGGACGTTTCAGGCAGAGGGTGAAGCTCTCTGGGCAGGACGTGCCTGCTGGGTGTTGCGGGGTGGGGGGGGGCACCGAGCAGGACGGCGGTTGAGGGGCAGATCTTATAAGACCGGAAAGTGTGAAAACTTGGGCATTATTCTGGGCAAAATGGGGAATCACTGAGGAGTTTTGAGCTGAGAAGTGGCAGGAACTGAGAGATTTTAAGAGGACTCTTGGCTGCTATGTTAAAAATTACTGCCTAGGGGCTGAGGGTGGAGCCCTGGGATAGAACTCCTGACTAGCAGGTTCTAGACTGCAAGGCCGGGAGTCAGTCCTCCTGTACAGAAAGAGAAACAAAGGAGGAAAGAAGGGAGGGAGGGAGGGGGGAGAGGGAAAGGATAAAAAGGGAGAGGGGAAGGGAGGAGGTAAAGAAAGGGGGGGGTGAACCTGAAGACTGAAAGTTCAAGGGCAGCATAGCAAGACCCTGTCTCAAAAAACAAACCAGATACCTCCAGCCACATCCTAAGACTCCCAATCCTTCTGCGCTCTCAAAAATAAATAAATAAAATAAAAAAGCAGAAGGAGAAAGGAAGAGCGCTGCCTAGGGAGGACTAGCAGAAGGGAGTAAGGAGATTCTGAGGGCGAAAGGTGACTGTGGCTTTGATCAGGTAGTGACTTAGAAGTGGAGGAAGGACCTCTGATTCTAGATGTAGTCTGAAGATACGAGAGAAAGAGGAGCCCAGGGTATCTCCAAGGTCTGGTACTTGCCCAGCCAAAAAGACAGAGTGGGCCATTGACCATAGTTATTAGAAATGCCGGACTATAACTCTAGCAAGACTATAGGGCCAGAAGTTGCTTTATGTAGTGCAGCCTGAAGTCTATTCATTTGTTTATTTTTTTAGTATTATGAATTGAATGCAGGGACTTCCTGGTTTGTTTGTTTTTTTTTTAAAGAAAATTTTTTATTTTGATACTGGGTCTCACCAAGTTGTTAAGTTTCTCAAATTGGATTCTGGGTTTATAATCCTCCTACCTCAGCTTCCCAGAGTTCCCGGCTTCCAGGCATGTGCCACCATGCCCAGAAGAAATCTCTAACACTCACTGCCTTCCCTAAACACGTACAGTAAGTCACTTATCAAAATCCATTTTCACCATGGCAGGACTTAATTCTGAATAAACTCTGTTAGATAGAACCAATCACTGCAGATACAATTTATTTCACTCTCCTGGCAATAAAGAAGAAACAGTCTTTTCTAGCTTCATACATATAATCCTTTCAGGTGATTTTTAAAAAAATTATAGTAGCTTGACTTCTTAGATGTTTATTTAAAACTAAGAGCAACTAATATTTATTGAGGACTTATTAACAGGCGATGTGCTTGATATTCACATATATTTACTTCCCAGGGCCTTAAAGCTGGAATGATTTCCATTTGAAGTGTGAAGAGGTTTAGAAGACATTTAAACATTTTGGCGGGGCCAGTCAGTGGCAGAGGTCAAGGGCTTTTGAAACTGTATGCGCTGTCTCTCCACTTGACTGCTAAAGAAGGCCAGGGAAGGGATATGAAATTGTCGTATTTTCTTTTCGTTTTGTATCATTTGTTCTTTATTGCTCGTAGGATTTAGTGAAGCTTCCATCTTGCCTCCTGTGTCGGAGAACAGTGTGGTTTTATTTTATTACTTATTCACTCATTTGCAGGGCTGGGGTTCAAATCCACGGCTTCATGAATGTTAGGTAAGTGCTCAACCTCTGAGCTGAAATCTAGCTTCTAATCCAGCACTGCTCAAACTGTAGTGTTTATATGAGCTGACAAAGGTTCTCTGCTCTACTAAACTTTAGTCAGGAACTTGCTCCTCTTCTGTGTACTTCCTTCTTAAAGCAAGGGTTGGGAGTGGTGCATGACAGCAGCACTTGGGAGGCTGAGGCAGGAAGATCACTGTGAGTCTGAGGCCAGTCTGGCCTATAGAGGGAGACCCTTTCTCATATCAAACAAACAACACGAGGAAAGATGATATTAAGAACCCTATTAAGTCAGGTTAGCAAGAACTGCCTACTTTTGATATCTATCCAGCCTCAACATCTGATTGGTTTCCTCACCCACCCTCACCCAGGTAATGTCCTATAACCTTGCTCATCTTCAGCGAGAATCCTGTCCAGTGGGAGGGGCCGGCTCTCCCTCACCCTTGTTGTTTCTCTTAGTAAGTTTTCATCCAGGGACTTCCACCCTGGTCTTTGGCTATGTAATCCCCACTTGCCCATGCTATATTTGGAGCTGACCCCAACCTCTCTCCTTATTGCAAAATCCCACTGTAGTGTTCCTCATACCTACTGTGATGGTCTTAGATAAAGTTTGAATTTTTTTTTCTTTAACAGAGTCATCTATGGAGATTTTTTTAAAAAATGCTGTTTCTTATTTGGTTAGTGAGTAGGATGGGGCCTGAGATTTTTCTTCTTTTCTTTTAAAATTTTTTTGAGACAAGGTCTAGGCCAGCCTTGAACTCACTATGTGCCCCACGCTGGCCTCAAACTCACAGTGATCCTCCTGCCTCAGCCTCCCAAGTGCTGGAATTACTGGCGTGCACCACCACACCTGGCCGGGACCTGAGATTTTGTGTTTCCAAAAAATCTTTACTAAATGCCAGGGTTCTGAGTGTGCTCAGCCACACTTGTAGTAGCAAGGGGCTAGAATGATCTTTGACCTTCTTTAAGCTCTAATAGCTTCTTCTATTCACCCCAAAAGACTCTGCTTCTGAAATACTTCCCCATGTGCCTTTTTTCCTCCTTCAGGGTTGGGGATTGACCCCAAGGCCTTGCACGTGCTGGGTAAGCCCTCTGCCCCTGAGCCATATGTATAGCCCTGCCATGATGATCAAATGGTAAATTTACTTTATCCCGTCACCCCAAGTCTAAGCCTCTGTTTTCCCATCTGTTTGTTTCATTTTCTCCAGCCTGTCCATCTCTCTCAATAATATTTAAATTTCTGGGCATTTAAAACTCTTTGGATGAACACTGAATGTTGTGCCTCAGCCAGTTCATCTCTGCCAGAGCTAACTGGAGGGGCTGAGAGATTTGCCACAAGTGAGTTATTTCAAGGTGGTGAGGGTGACACATGCTCCTAAATTTAGAACCTAATGAACTTCTCCTGATTAAGGAGTTACTGTCTTCCACCCTTCCACTCTTTGTGTAAAAAATTTAACACACACTTGAGACCGATTATTTTTTTTCCTGTGTTAGAACTTTCAAGCAGTTCCTTTTTTAAAGCAACTTTCCCCCCCACAGTATCCTGTTTCCTCAGAGGGGAGGTAGGCTGTCCACCCTCCGAGCTGTGATTACCAGAGCCAGCTTCCCCTGAAGTCTTCACATCTCCACATCCAGCTAGCACACTGTTTCTGAAAATGTCTAGGTAAGGCAATATTTTCAGCTTTGGGGGCCACAGGTTCTCTGTTGCCGTTACTCAACTCCATAATGCAGAACAACCATAGGCAACCAATGTGTGTAGTTGTGTTCTAGCTTAACTTTATTTTCGAAAGCAGAAAGCATGCTAGATTGGGCTGCCAGCCCACAGTTGGCTGACCTCTGATCTGGGAGCACGTGGAGGCTGCATCAGTCTGGTTACAGCTCCTGGGAATTTGGAACCAGGACCCTGTGACTGAGTCTGGCAATAACTGGGGGTTGCTGAGCAGCTGGATTGGGCACAGTGGGTGGGGCAGAGGGGAGAGCCAAGACCAGTAGTGGGGACAGCCAAACTGGGCCTCACATCAGCGGGCAAGGGCACAGAAAGGCCAGTCTGCAGAGTGCAGCAGACACCTGAAGCCAAGACTGGAGTCCAGAAGCTGAGGGAGAAAGGAGGCCAGAGAGGTCTTGTTTTGATAGCCGAGGTTCCCACCGTAATGTGTTCTCATAGAAGCCCTGCCTCTTTTTATATTCATGTCTCCTTTACTTCAGCCAATTGGCATGACTTTATGTTTCTTGCCACCAGAGAGGGCGTAATTTGAGCAACCTTCTCCACTCCAGATTCCCCAATGCCTACAGCTCTCTGTCCCACACAACCATGCGTTCACAGCACCCAGATTTTCGAAGTGTGGTTCCACCAGTCTACTCTGCCTTACCATCTCCCTCCATCTTTGCTCAGGCATCGCTTCCCATGTCTGAGTTAGTTAGCTCTTGGTTCCTGTAGTAGTCAACTTTTCAATACCACACAGAACACCTCAGGTTGGGGACTTAGCTCTGAGTATCTGGAGTGCTTGCCTAGCACATGCCAGGCATGTTCACTTCATAGAACAAGGGTGGAGGACCATAAAGACTACTTTTTAAAGACAAAAGATTTATTGTGACACAGGGTTCTGGCAGCTCAAGGATGAGGGGCTGTGCTTGGTGATGGTCTTGTTGGCAAAGTCCCAAGGCAGCTCAGGGTAGCACGTGGCAGGAGACGGGAACAACGCATTGTCTGTGTGCTGCTTGGTCTCTCTTCTTATAAAGCCATCAGTATTCCATCATGGTGGCTCTGCCCTAAGGACTTTATCTAATTCTAATCACCTCCCAAAGGTCAGAGTCAGATTAAACTGATGCTTAGCATTTCCCAGGGGAGATTAAACTCCAGCAGGAGTTTGAAGGGATCAACCATATCTACTCAGGTCTGCATTGCTCTTTATATAAAGCCCTATCACTGCACTTGTAACACCACATTATATTTTTTGATATAATAATACAGACTACTTGTCTGTAGTTTTAACAACAGCCTTCGTCTCTATAGAGCCCAGAGGATGGTAGGAATTTAATACATTCATTTAATGAATGGGGCAAAACTATATAAGGGTAAATAAATCTGTTAAATAGGGGTAGGTTCTAGCCAACCTGAAGATTCAAGACCCTTTGATATTTTTTCCAGCCTTACGTATACGTGCTGCCAAAGCAAATACTTTTTTCAGCCTTATGAACCAAAAGTAACATAACTATTGAATTTGTTCATAAGTAACAGACTCTAGGAATGTACTTTATAGGCCCTTCTTTGCAATTCATTAATAGTTGTTAGAGTTTAGATCTAAAATGTCACCCAAAAGTCCCATGTGTTCGGAGGTAGGAATTTCAGAAAGTAACTGGATCACAGGGCTGTAATTTCGTTAGTGGATTGATCCATTGATGAGATCCTAATCTGATAGCATTATTGGAAGGTGACAGAAACAGGAGGTTGAGCCTAGGTGAAGGGAATGGATCATGGGTGTGTGACCCTGGGGACCATAACTGGTCCCTGGTCCCTTTGTTTCTGGTATTTCCTTGCCCTCTCTGCTTCCTGGCTGCCATGGGGTGAGAAGCTTTCCTTTACCAAACCCTCCAACCATGATATTTCTGCTTTGGAGTCAACCAATCATGGACTGAACCCTCTGAAATCATGAGGCAAAATATAACTCTCCTACCTTAAATTGTGTGTCAATTATTTCATCCCAGGGTCATAAAGCTAGCACAACAGTTTTGTTCAAACTTATATTGCTGAGTTTATTAGCCTGCACACGTGATTAGTAATTGAATATGTTAACATCTTGCGCTAGAATTGTAGATTTCTTGCCAAATGAAATCTATCATTATGAAGTCTCCTTTTATCTTCAGTGGTGTTTTTTTTTTCTTAGAGTCTGCTTAATCTGATATTAATATAGTGATTCCAGACTGATTTTTGGGAATATTAAATGGGTTAGTTTTTTCCCATCCTTTTACTTTCAAAGTTTCTACATTTTTATGTTTCAAGTATGTCACTTCTAAACAGCATGTAGGAGGGTTTTCGTTATTTGCCCTGTCTGACAATTCCTGGTAGTTGGTTACAGCAATCTGTGGCTCCAGATTTATTCTACCTTTTAGTATTTATACCCTTAGATAACTCCCTCCCCTTGACTCAAGGATGGGTCTATAATGACTTGTTTTGTTTTGGCCTAGAACATACTATGTAGCCCAGGCTGGCCTCAAACTCTAGCAGTCGTCTCGCCTCACCCTCCCTGTGCTGGGTGCTTTATCTGACAGAACTGGCAGGAGTGACCATGTGCTAGTTTCAAGCCTAATCCTCTTGAGAGCCCGGGGAAAGTGTGTAAGAAGTCAGCCCGTTCCTCTGAGGAGACTGCAGGGAAAGGCCATCTGGAAACAAGTCTTGAATCTACCTGCAGAACAATGAAAGAACCCAGCTGACAGTGAGAACCAACACACACACACACACACACACACACACACACACACACACACACACACACAGGAAACACACACACACACACCCACACACACCCACACAGGATCAAGTTATTCCAAGATAACTCCAAGCCATTAGAACCAGGTGCCAGGTGCCAGGCATGAATGCAGAGCAATCTGAGCTCATTCCTACTGGAACCAAAGGTCTAGGCTGCCTGTCACTCCCATACCAATAGTCACCAGACCAGTGTTGGTAGAAAACAATGAGGTTTATTCCAGGTCAGCCCTGAGGAAGACAGAGGGGAAGGCTCCTCAAAGCTCCATCTTACTCAGGCTCCGGGGCGTGAAAGGTTTCCATGGCAAGGGAAGGAGGCAGTGAGGCTGCAGTGTCTCCTTCTCAGCTTCACAATGGATTCCAACTTCCAGCTACTTCCTAAGGTAAGTTGTTACATGGGTCATCTGGGTTCCAGGACGCCAAGAAGGGTTTAGCAGTTACCATCTAGATAGGGCCTCCTCTTTAGACAAAGGATTAGAGAGGGGTTGAAGGGCAAAAGAGAAGGGGAAGCCTCTGTTATAACGTCAGTCTAGCAGCTATCTGGAGAAGAGAGGCGCCGTCTCCATCGGGTCCTCTCTGATGACCTGCAGCTTGTGGAAAATAACAGAATCCAATATCAACGCACTAAATTTTTAGGTAGTTTGTTACATAGCAATTGATGAGCAAAAGAACTGTCATTAAGCCAGGGTCTGTTTTCACTTAGTATAATTAGTGATACATTTGGTTTGAAATCTATTATTTGGCTGGAGATGTAGCTCAGCAGTAGAGCATTTATCCAGCATGTACAAGGACCTAGGTTCAATCCCCAGCACCAGCAAACCAAACCAAACCAACAGAAACTTAGCTACTTTCCTTTGCAGGGCTGGGGGATCAAACCCAGGGCCTCATCATGATAGGCAAGCGCTCTACTAGAGCTATAACCCTCAAAAGTACTTTCTATTTGGCTGTCCTCTGTGCTGATTTTTCTTATATCTTATATTGAGATTATTATTTTTTATTAGTCCATTTCCTCCCACCTCCTTCAGATTAGAAATTGCTTAGAATGATGATCAACTTTATATACCAATCTAGATGTGCTGTGGTACCCAGATATTTGGTCAGTTATTCTAGATGTTTCTGCAAAAGTATCTTTTAGATGAGATTAATGTTTAGTCCCAGTCAGGGATGAGGTCTGCCTCTATTATGGAGGACAGTGAGCTTTTCCTCAATAGCCACTGATCTAAACATTAATCTAATCTTATTTCAGTTTCATCCCTACTCATCCCCTCAACTCTTTCTGGAATGGAGGACAAAGGAACTTTCCCAGGCTGCCATCATTCTTCAGACAATGCTTGGTGATTCCTGATTAAATTGTTGGCTCTTGCGGGTTGTGGGGGCGCACGCCTGTAATCCCAGCACTCCGGAGGCTGAGGCAGGAGTATTGCCACAAGTTTGAGATCACCCTGGGCTACACAGTAAGTTCAAGGCTAGCCTGGATTACATAGTGAGAAAAAGAAAAAGGTTAGCTTTCACATAACTTTAAGATGGTATTTTAAACTTTCTGTTGAAAATTTTCTAGTTTTGTATTTCTCCACACGAGGATTGCGCCGAATTACTGTCAGTTCCAGAGCTTATAGGAATGTAGATATTATTAGATGTAAGTGGTTGCTTTTAAGAGTACATTGAAAAAGATCCCTAAGGAGCAAAATTAGACTTTTATTCATAATTCTTTTTTTTTTTAGCCTAAGTGGCAGGCCAGTGCTTAAGAATGTTGTACCCCATTTTAGATATTATATAATTTAAGAAAAGTTACTTCTTTTGTTGGCAAATATTATTGTGTGTCACCTTTTTACCAGAAGCTTGCCTAAGAAGTGAGAGTATAATAGTTGGGTGTAGGTATAGTGGCATATACCTATAATAACGGCACTCAGGAGGGTGAGCCAGGAGCACTGCCAAGAGAGAGGCCAGACTGGAATACACAGCAAAACCCTCTTTCAAACAAGAAGAAGAAGAAGGAGAGGGAGAGGGAAAGAGAGAAAAAGAAGAAAATGGGGGAAAATAAAAGCTGGGTGTGGTAGCCCATGTTTATAATCCTAGTTACTCTGGAGACTGAAGCAATAAGTAATTTTAAGAAGGGATGGGAGCCAGGCATAGTGGTACATGCCTGTAATGCCAGAATTTGGGAGGCTGATGCAGGAAGATTTCAGCCTGGACTGCATAGGGAGACCCTGTCTCACAAAAAAAAAAAAAAAAAAAAAAAAAAAAAGGAGAGGGATGAAGCTTTATGGTATAGGGTCCCTGGGTTCTTCTATCCCCAGTACAGCAAAAATTAAAAAAAAAAAAAAGACTATAAAGATGAAAAAGAAACAGTCCTGTCCTTAAAGCCTTTGAAGTCTAGATTCCTTTTCTTTTCTTGTAAAACAGGATTTCACTATGTAGTTCACGCTGACCTCAAACTCTTGGTGATCCTCCTGCCTCAGCCTCCCAAGTGTTAGGATTACAGGCATGTGCCATCATGCCCAGCCTAGATTCCTTATTAATGAACTCATCATATCATGATCCTGAAAGTTTTTAATTAAAAAAGTCTTGTTAAATATATATAGCATTGTACAATGATAAATGCACTTACTGATACTAGGATGTTGGAGTTGTGTTCACTGGTGATGAAGAATGATTCCGATATCATGGATGGAGGAGGTAGGTTGTAAGCAAACTTATTTAAAAGCATAAAGGCAGGAAAGCTCCTGCTAGATTGGAAGGGGTTGAGTAGGATCCCCACAAGGACTCTTTGTCTAGGGGGTTTTTAGGGTTTAGAAGGGAGCTTGGGCAGTTGTGTGACGTGATCTCTACCCTACAGGGAACTACAAGTACACACAAGGGTCCAATCTGTGCAGTGCTCACACTGAACCCACGCAGAGCCCATGGCCTGTCTCATCACACTCTGCAGAGGTCCCAGACAGCCAAAGGACACCTGGCAGGTGTTTTTGTGAGTTCTCTGGAGGGTGATGACTCAGCAAACTCCATTTGGGGCTTTCTGATCCCATTTTTGGGCTGCTCTCTTTACAGCCTAGTAGAATCCTAACTCCTGCCTCACTGATTTGCTACATTACAACATAAACGTATATTTGAGTTCCTAGTACTTTTCAGCCCAAATGATGGCATCTTAAGAAATATATTTTCTAATGTATTTGTCTTCTAGTTCAGTTTACCATTGAGTCTGGTCCTTTGAAATATTTTGGAGGAAGAACAAAGCTCTGCAAGACATCTAAATGCTAGGATCCTCTCTTGCCTAAAGAAATAAGTTCTGTTTTTTATCTTTTTGCTCATGTAAACTGGGAAAAGCTATTCTCTCTGAATCATCATTTTGATCAGAGCTTTTCCTTGGTACGTGTTTAAAGTCCAATAAAATAGCCTCTTTGTACATATCTCTGAACTTTAAAAGTGTAACAGATTTGCTAAGAGATTTGAGCCTTACTGAGATTATTGCATGCACCCATCCTGTCTAGGTTGGATTGTTCAGTGGAGAGGAACAACACAGATAATTTAACAGATAAGGGTGCAGTGGATTCATATTTAACTTTGGATAAGTAATGTCACTTTTTGGGTTTATTTTCTCACAATGATAGATTGAGCTCCTGGATGATATATCTGAAATATTTTTAACGATCTCAAATCCTATGATTCTTCTAGACTTGAGGAAGACTGTTTAGCCCCTTGAGGTAAAAACAGATGGAGAGGGCCGGGGATTTAGCTCCGTGGTTCTACTGTCTGCCTTGCAAGTGCAAGGTCCTGAGTTCAATGCCACGTTAAAAAAAAAAAAAAAAAAAAAAAAAAAAAAAAAAAAAAAGAAGAGGAAAAAAAAAAAAAAAAAAATAGAAAAAGAATAATGAAGAGGGCAATAAAGTTCAATATATCAGGTATGACATTAGATTAGTGCATACCTTTAAGGAGATGAAGACGTAGATGTTAGTGGCCACCATGGCAGTGACCAGAGTAGAGAGAAAACAAGACTGAGGCCTGGGGAGGCTAAGACTCCTGGGAACCACTTTCAACCTTCCTTCCTCCGCACTTCCCTCTTTTCTACACTCATCCTCTAGGAATTGCTTTCATTTGTCCACAGAGGCAACAGTGATCGCTCTGAGGGAGTCTGCAGCTACTCCTGCTCATTTGAAAAGCACCGCACCTCAGCCTTGTGGCCTCTTCCTCTGGACGCAGCTGTGAGGCCTCTGGGACCGTGGAAGTAAAACAAACAGAACCACAGATGACCTTGGACGTGTCGTAGAAGTGCAGGGTTTTCATTTGTGGAATGAAAGGCTCCAGTATTCCTAGTTTTGCTTTTAGCTTTTTTTTTTTTTTTTTGCAAGACAGGGTCTCAAAATGTACTTCAGGCGGTCTTAAAACTTGCAGTGATCCTCCTGCCTTCATCTCTCGAGTGATGGAGTAACCAGTGCACACCACTGCACAGCTCCTCCTTCATTCTGTTTTGGACTCCTCCTGAAGTCTTTTCTTCTCTCAACACACACTGACTTTAGTTTCTACAAAATTTCAATGAAGCAGCCTAGCATGGTAGAGCGCGCCCGTTAGCCTAGTAGTCTGAGAGGCTGAGGCAGGAAGACGGCAAGAGGGAACCTAGCGTTGGCAATTTAGCAAACAAGCAAGACCCAGAATAAAAATACAGGATGTGTGAAGGGGCTAGGGATGTGCCTCCCAAGCCACACCAAGGCGGAGCGCTCTGGGAGAGGGTAGCACCTTGGGCAGCTCACACCGTCACTGCAGCCCGACACTGGAGGACACCCCAGCCCAGCCGGCCGCGCAGCTCTCCTAAAGCGCGCGGGGACTGGCGAGGCCTTTCCACTTTCCCGCCTCGTCGGAATCCCGTCCTCTACCCTCGGCCCGCGGCCCCACCCTCGCGCCAGCACGTCTCTGACGCCCCGCCCCGCC